ATATATGGCAGTGACCGAGGCGATCAAAGAAGCTTTATGGTTGAATGGTCTATTTGCGGAACTTAGTTTACACCAAGGTGGTATTACCATTTTCTGTGATAGTCAAAGTCATTCACTTGACTAAAGATCAAATGTATCATGAGAGTACGAAGCACATTGATATAATGTATCATTTCATCCGAGAAACCATTGCTAAAAGAAAAGTCTCTGTTCAGAAGATCAACACTAGAGACAATCCTGCTGACATGTTCACAAAACCTCTTCTAGTGTCCAAGTTCAAGCTTTTGCTTGAACTTGATTGGCATTTATGAAATGATTTTGCCCATTGGGGTTTTTGCGGAGAAGGTGGAGCAAATTTACTATATATAAGCCGAAATTAGGCCAATGTGGAGATTTGTAATATGGCCAAATTTTCATGACATTTGCCATGACATAATATCCATTATAACAAATTTGTGGTTCCATGACATAATATCCATTATAACAAATTTGTGGATCATGACATTTGCCATGACATAATATCCATTATAACAAATTTGTGGATCATGACATTTGCCATGACATAATATCCATCATTAGGCCAAGGATTTCTTGCTATAAATAGAGGAGTTTCTCCTCATTTGAAAACATACCAATTCAAGAGCTTTTCACTCTTGTCTTTCTTTCTCCTCCTTTATTTTATTATAGAGTATTTTGTAAGAGAGTGAGTGTTGGGAAACACTTGTGTGAACCCTTTCTTTGGAGTGATCTTGTGAGGTTATTCTCTTGGGGTATTTGGGATTAATTAAAGTATTTACTCTAATTTTGTACTCTCTTTTTGTACTCTTGTTGGTATAGTGAAATTGCTCCTCTCCGCTTGTAGACGTAGGTCACCTTGACCAAACCACGTTAAATTTTTGTCTTCTTTATATTCTTTAATTGTTATTATTATCAACTTCTATTGTCTTTATTATTGTCATTATACCATTGTTTGGCTAAATTCCGCACTACCCGAGTTTCCGATCCTAACATTTTCAGATGCAGTTGGAAGATGTGGCAAAGAGAGATTTCTTTGAGAAAAAATCAAGGTTTCTATGGCTGACTTGTGGAGAGAATAACACAATTCTTTCAATCAAGAAGCTAGCTGTTGATGATAGCATTTCAGAAAATGCATAAGTCACCAAACAAGAGATAGAACATTTCAGAAAACCTAGAGAACAAGAATTTACATTTAGGGACCGAGATGCGGAGACCGAGTTTAGTTTGGAAGATATGCCAAGAATCTCATAGGAGGAAAGAAACTGGTCACAGAGACACAACATGTGCAACTGGTGCTATCTATGCATAAGAGAAATGCAAAGTAACTACCACATAATTTTTGTATTGCAAGGTGACAGTTAACCTCTGGGTTATGTTCCTGAACATGTTCAAGTTGAAACGGGTATTGCCAAAATCTCCAAAAGAGCTATTTATTTGCTGGAATAGAAAAGGTATCACCAGGAAGAAAAGAGGATGTGGAACAAAACACCTACGTGCATCTGGTAGATAATTTGGAAGGAGAGGAGCCTCAAGTGTTTCACTACTAGAAATTCGGCAAAAACCGACCAAGGTCGACTGACCAACTTTGGTCGGTAAAAAAACCGACCAAAAAACCGACCAAAGTTGGTCGGTTTTTCAAAATATTTTTTTTTTTTTTTTACGAAATCGACCAACTTTGGTCGGTTTTCTTTGGCGCAAAAATGCGGGAAACTATTTTTGAGTCCCGCAAATTTTATGTTTCAAGAAACCGACCAACTTTGGTCGGTTTTTCAATTAAAATAAATAAAAATTAATATTAAAAAAACCGACCAAAATTGGTCGGTTAATTCGGCGGGTCATTTAAAAAAACCGACCAACTTTGGTCGGTAATTTTACTTTTTAATAAAACCGACCAACTTTGGTCGGTTATTTTCGTGCGAAAATACAATTAAAGAGTATAAATCAAATAAAAGACAGTCTTAAAACAAAATGTACCAATGGTCTAGTGGTAGAATAGTATCCTGCCACAGTACAGACCCCGGTTCGATTCCCAGATGGTGAATCTTTTTATTACATAATTAAAATACCGACCAACTTTGGTCGATTTTTTTTGCAATATTTTTTTTTTTAATTTAATTGACCGACCAAAGTTGGTCGGTAATTTCCGACCAACTTTGGTCGGTATTCCTTTCCGACCACAAAAATACTGTCCACACGTAAATGGTCGCGTTTTGGTCGGTTTTTGGCCATTACCGACCAACGTTGGTCGATTTTTTTGGTCGGTTTTTACCAGATTTCTAGTAGTGTTTGGAAAGTAGACACGAACCTATCTATTAAATCAAGTTTGATTGCATATGCCTGCCGTCATTTTTGTGTAAAATGTTCTAATAGAGGACAAAGAAGAACTCATAGAGTTCATTACTGTTATACAAGACTAGGAAGTTTTCCTTTTGTGCTCATGTAAATACCCACTGTGTCAGGTGCAACCTTTTGTTGTACAGCACCTTCTCTGTGCTGCTTATCAATAAAAGCTTTACTTTTACCTGATTAAAAGAAAGAGATGTGTATAACGAAGCTTTCGCAAGTGCGAACCGTAGAAAAAAAGACAAACTGATTTTCTTATGATCGCAAATTTACAGCAGGAATCATGGTTAAACTCGTACCTGTTTACCTAGCTATGGACGAACTAACCAAAAGTATACAGGATGGATGTACCTTGTTGCTTGCAGATGAAATAGCATAAGAGTCTAACTTAAATTTACTCCAAACTGTAAGAGTTTTAGGGCAAGTAGAAGAAAGACAAAATATATGCACTATAATCTCAGCCCAAAAACATTATAAGGGAGTGATATTGGAGCTCCATACAACAATATCCACAAGATCAAACATCATAAAAATGTGGAAGTTATGGAGTATGTAAACCCCAAGTATCTGCGGGAATGCATTGACTCTAAAGTCCACCAGCTTAATGTTATATTCCTGCATCGAAAATTGTAGGAGATATTCTCAAGGCGGGAATCAGGGGATATGACACTGAGAGACACGGAATAGCATTTCAGACCTCATCAATCATACTATAATGTTATCAGGAGCAGTGCATAATCAGTTGCCACCTTCATTCGCTCCTTCCACCGGCCAAATTCAGCTAAAAGTGTGTAACACAGTATTAGCAAGTCCAAGAAACAACTAATTATTCAACAAAGTTCAAGTAAGTCAATACCAGAACGAAGTGAATTCCACAAGGGTGTCTTGAACTTCATATCATAAACTACAGCGAGACAAAAGCCAATCAACTTCATCAAGCGAGGATGAGACTTAATTTCTGACCTTTCAAGTAATACAATTTCATCCTGTTGCAAAGTCACAAAATTAGTGAAATATAGCATTTACTCACCCGGAATTTTCGTGGATACGAATCCCATGTTTTGACAGTAACCTCCCGCATTCCTTCACCATCATCTATAAACCCCCGGAACAATTTGCCATATCCAATGTGCTGGATAAAATCCTCTTGACAGAACCCATTAGTGATCTTCTATGGCTCAAATTTTTTGCATCACCCACGTTGAAACCTTGAGAAGGACCCCTGCATATTTTGTTCATGTTAGCTTAACCTCTAACAGGAAAGATGTGGAACGAATCGACAAAACCAATGTCTAGTAAAGGATGAGGAGAAGAATAATATGTTTTGGATGGCTAAATCTTTCTAGGTGAGGTCCTTTAACTGGAATTGACCAGAAGAGAAGAAAGGAAGACAAAATGTATGACATACCATGACACAAAAGAAAGGTGCTCTATTTTCACTTGGTGTTTCGTTTATATAAGGAGCAAGGGGTAGACAGAGGCTAAATATTATTTTACGTTAAAGTTTGGTTCATAGACTAGTTATGTAGGGGGTTTAAATGGTTATGGGGTGAATAATAACGTAAGGATTGTTATAATGGTGAGTAAAATTAGACAAAGATCGTTATATAGTGAGTAAAACAACAAAAAGATTGTTTAATTCAAGGTCATTTTTTGTCTTCCAACACTCTTTGCGGATCGCAAAATGCAAAGTTCTAATAGTAAAGGGTAAATGATGCAATAAGTTCTGAAGAGTTTTATACCACACAACACATCAAAGGGATTAAAAAGTAATTCGAGCATAAAACCTTATGTTTGCAACATAAAGCTGTACATTACTAATTTGACAACTGCTAAAGACACGTCACAGTTATGAGCATTAGGGTGAGTTTGGTATAACGGAAAATATTTTCCCCAGGACACTAACAAGTTATTCATTAAGAAACTATCAACACCTTTGAGAGTTTTTTTTTAAGCTTCTACTATTTTTAGACTATTTCAGGTAGCTGGTGCAATTTTTAAAAGTGTATTTTCTACTTCTTTTGTTTATTATTTTTTTTGGTTTGGTTTTTGGGGATTTGATAGGATTTTTTTGGTGACTCTGAACTTTTTGTTGGTCACAATTCTGTTGAATTTAGCCGTCGAAATTTGATAAATATTTGACGAAGAACAAAAAATATTTACCTGTGGTAAATTTAAAAGGATTAAAGCTGCTAAAAATATATTTAAGTAACTACTCCTATTTTAAACCTACCCAAAATATAAATAATGACACAACTTGAAAGATAAAAGAGAGAAAGAAGAGGGAGAGGAAGAAAGCTATGGCGAACAAGCTGCTTAGCGAAATGGGTCTTCCCAAGTCTATTGCCTACATTTTTTCTGCTCGTAACCTTATTACTGCTAAGGTCTCCTTTTAACCCTTTCTTTCTTTGTTAATTTTACTTGTGCTAAATATATTCACACATTTTTTTCTTCAAGTGTAAGAATCTTTGTTGCCTTCTGAATTCTTCATTCATTAGCATTTAAACTATGTGAGCTTGTTTTAGTTCTTTGTGTTCTTCAAATTTACGTATGGAATGTACAGTTTCATCCCTAAGTTTGATCCTATTCAGAAGGGCAATTATGTTTAAAGATTGATATTTCTAAGTGTAACAAAGTCTATTAACACATGTTGAGGTGCAAATTTTAACACCCAATGATTAGTTTTTGTCTTTTTAAATTAAATTTAGTGTCTACTTCTAATGTTTTATGATTAAAAGAGCTCATTTTTGTTAAATTCATCATTTTGTTGTTTTCTTGAAATTCACTGGTTGAGGGAAGATGTGTGTGTGTGTGTGTGGGG